GCGTTCAAAGGGATTGAGTTCAAGTTGTCCGTAGACCATGACTAACCTAAGCTTTCGTTTAGAAAAGACTTTTCTTGAGTATACTGTTAATTATCTTGGATCTGTATCCTGCTGTTTTTCTTTGCAGGCAAACTTACTGCATGGTAGTGAATCAGTGTCGGCACTGGGTGGAAGCCGAATGACACTCGTTTCTAAAGACAGTGGTGAAACAGGCCCTTTGCACAGCACAGAGTTTCAGGTATCGGATTCATCATTTTGTTCTTTTCTCTCTTTTGACCAATTCTTATACCTAACTTTGCCCTTCTATCGTTATTTGTTTACTATGCATGCAATTTAGTGGCAATCTGTCTCGTAACAGGTGACAAAGTGTTTACGTCAAAAATTTTGAAAACGGTGCGGTCTGGTCTGAGTGTGAAAACTGCTTTGTGCTTTACGATTATGTAAGGTGGAAGTTATTCAGTTGCCTGACTTTTCGACCTAATCTTCGTCTTCAGAGGTCTGACCATGTTTCAAGTCTCATAGCCTACCTCACCATGAATGAACCGGTGCACACTACTCTCGGATGAAAGGGCTCGTCGTGGGTTAGCGTCCACCAGTTCCTTAGGGCACGGATATATACCATTTTCACTTTAAATTCACCACTTTTCAAACCAAATTCACCACTTTTCAAACCAAATTCACCACTTTTCAAACCAAATTCACCACTTTTCAAATCAAATTCACCACTCTTTTTAGACCGGGCAGTTCACCAACCAGATCACGCCAGACACCACTGCGAACCCTGCCCCGACGGTCACGCCTACTTGTCAGCGCGGACATACAGGGGGGGGGCAAAAAAAGTCACTTCGACCGAGTCACATATCAGCAAAGTTTTCGCAGCCCAGACAGAGGACGTGGATACGAGTACCAGGGCGGAAGATACCTTCCTCGATAAGCAGGAGCTGGCTCTCGCCCATCACCTTCATGTACACCAAAATATGAAGTCATCTCCAGTCGCAGCCTGACTGGAGAAGACCTTTGGAATTCATGTCACCTCCAAACAGCTGCGAAACTTCTAGTATGGAGTCACCCATGGATAGCTACCTGGAGACCAGTACTCTCGATCTGGAAGACCCGGACTGAAGGTGAGCGCTGGCGGTTACATCGAGCAACTCGAGAAGAATATCCTCCCTACATGTGGTCGCCCGTACCTTCTTGGAGACCTTGTGCTGCTACAGGTTTGGGTGCCACCACATGGAATCGAAGGGTTTTGGAAAAACTCCCGCCTACTTCGAATGGAAGGGCGTTTCGTACCTGAAGAAGATGTAATATTGAAGTATGTCCCCTGACCTGAACCCACTCAATTACCTAGTTCGGGCGGAGTTCAATAGGGTGGTCTACGGTGGCGGAGAAATCGACTACCTCGCTGATCTCAGGTACCACATCGCGGTCGCGTGCCAGAATCTCTCGATGGCGCTCGTCCAGAAGGCTGTGGCGGAGTGTCATGATAGTATTTAATATGCTCTTCAATATGGTGGTAAAAATGTCCGATCAGAATTTATAAGTGTAACTTATAGCGCCTCGAAAGTCAATGAGGCAAAGTGACTTTTTTTTGGCCACCCCTGTAGATTTTCAACACATGGCCGACTCCGCCCAGTCTTTAAAGGGTTTGTTGCGAACTTCGAAATTTCATAACTTTTTCAACTTTTTAATTTCACATCCACTCTTTGCACAGCGAAGATACTCGTAACCGCGCATTCATGCTTCGGCAATTCAGGCCCGCCCCCTTGACCACGCCCACTTGCTTTTTGCGGAATTTTGATATTTTTTCCAAAATTTTTGCATTTTTGGACTGCTCCACTGTGAAGCTCCGCCCACTTTGAAGAAGCCCCGCCCACTTTTCAAAAGTAGGTGCAAATGTATAGTCTTGGCTTGCAAGCTAAGGTCTCGTCCGTCACTCGGAAGAAATTAATCAGACAAAGTTTGTCATTGTCAGTCATGGATGCGCGGTTACGAGTATCTTCGTTGTGCAAAGAGTGGATGTGAAAAGTTGAAAAAGTTATGAAATTTCGAAGTTCGCAACAAACCCTTTAAAGACTGGGCGGAGTCGGCCATGTGTTGAAAACCTATGTGACAAGCTGACAAGTGGACCGTCGGGGCAGGGTTCGCAGTGGTGTCTGGCGTGATCTGGTTGGTGAACTGCTCCGGTCTAAAAAGAGTGGTGAATTTGATTTGAAAAGTGTGAATTTGGTTTGAAAAGTGGTGAATTTGGTTTGAAAAGTGGTGAATTTGGTTTGAAAAGTGGTGAATTCAAAGTGAAAATGGTATGGTGTAGAAGAGGTGGTACTGGAAGACTTGCCCAATGTACAGTAGTTACCAATATAGATGACTATTTCTGTGCTTTGGATACACATACATATAGACGACTGTTTCATAATAACATCTACACAGTCCGATATGAATAAACGTTCTCGTTAATAAGTGAACATTCACGGCACAATAATCCAAGTTGGCAACCATTTCTTAACACGCAAGTCAAGTTATCCAATAGCATCACTTATGTGAAATATTACCGTAGAAGTGGTTCAGAAAACATCTTGGTTCACGCTACATCAGCACAGTTCGATTGCTTTGAAGTAATGTGCATAAATTAAATAAATCGTCGAAGAGTAGTCGTGTCATAGTGGAGGAACACGGATTCCTCGCGCACAGTGCGCAATTCCGAAGGCACGTGTGTCATGGAAACAGTTCTACTAACCTTTACGCCCGCCCTTTTAAACGGTCACATTAAAGCAAGAATGATGGTGAGAAAAGTAATAAGGTTGATTTAGGTCTCCAAATGTATTCTGCCCTGATGTTCCGAGCGGCGACTAGCTGCCCTGATAGCATTTTCCATTTCCTCTGTGAAGTGCCAGGAATATTCAGAGAGATTAGACATTAAAAAAGCACTTTCCAATGGTCTGAATGAGGTTAGAATCTGCCTCAAAGCCCTCGAAAAGTGTCGCGAGCTCTCGAGGTGAAGCCTCACTGGGTTTTTCTCTGCACAGGAGGATCACGCCTGTTTTGAGTTTTTTGAGTCTTGATGGTTCTTGTACGCTAGTATTTCATACCTTGTACACATGTCTGTTCCCTAATTCTTTAGCGTACTTGATAGAAATACCTTCATGATCCATCCGCAGAAATCGCTCAAACTCACTCCCTTTTACCCGGGTAGTGCTAGGAAAGTCTTTTTTTTGTTTTCTCTTCCTCTGTGCGTCCCCCTTATTCTTGCTTTCCTCGTCTTCTCCTTTCTGGCAATGTGCGCGACCATAATTCTTTCAGTTTTTGTTCGCGTGCAATCGGTAGAAAGTGAAGGAACGTGGGGTCCTTTAATCTTGTGAGCCAGTACCCTGCTTTACTGATTACCAGTTTTTCACCG